TCAAAATTTCAGTCTAGTTAGTTGAAACTTTTTCTGTTTTGACTAAATGACAGAAATCTTCTATCCAATACAAATCTAAGATAGTATTTTTTCTACTTTATCTAAACAACAACCACAAAAAAAATCTGTGAAATTGTTGTGAGAAAAATATTATGTATTTACAATGTACATACCCAAACAGTGTAGCATGTAGATGATGTATATTATGTGTGTGATGTTTATTGTAACCCAAGACATAACTTTTGTTATACATCATAAATGTTGGTGATGTTTTTATGTTTGTTGTCAACAAGTATACCAACAAGTCATCAATTGTTTACATGTTTATTTTTTTTAAAAACTTCAGATTTTCTTAGTCATTACACGAACTTTCATGAATATGATAGATATATAACATAATGGTTTGTGGTCTTCATTTATTTTGTTTGTACAAGATTTTGTGGCAGTTGTTACTGGTGCCTAATGAGAGATTGTGAACAAGCTATGACATTATATCTCAATTTAGAAACAAAGTCATTTATTAGTCAGAGAATAATGAATGAAAATCCCACCATAACAGACACAATCAATGTTAGAGAAATAAGACAGCTCCCTAAATGTTGACATACTGTACACTATTGTACCTTGACTGTTGACATACTGTACACTATTGTACCTTGACTAGTGACATACTGTACACTATTGTACCTTGACTAGTGACATACTGTACACTATTGTACCTTGACTAGTGACATACTGTACACTATTGTACCTTGACTAGTGACATACTGTACACTATTGTACCTTGACTAGTGACATACTGTACACTATTGTACCTTGACTAGTGTACTTGCACCTTGACTAGTGACATACTGTACACTATTGTACCTTGACTGTTGACATACTGTACACTATTGTACCTTGACTGTTGACATACTGTACACTATTGTACCTTGACTTGACATACTGTACACTGTTGTACCTTGACTGATGACATACTGTACACTATTGTACCTTGACTGTTGACATACTGTACACTGTTGTACCTTGACTGTTGACATACTGTACACTATTGTACCTTGACTAGTGACATACTGTACACAATTGTACCTTGACTGTTGACATACTGTACACTATTGTACATTGACTTGACATACTGTACACTATTGTACCTTGACTAGTGACATACTGTACACTGTTGTACCTTGACTAGTGACATACTGTACACTATTGTACCTTGACTAGTGACATACTGTACACTGTTGTACCTTGACTGTACACTGTTGTACCTTGACTAGTGACATACTGTACACTGTTGTACCTTGACTAGTGACATACTGTACACTATTGTACCTTGACCAGTGACATACTGTACACTGTTGTACCTTGACTAGTGACATACTGTACACTATTGTACCTTGACTAGTGACATACTGTACACTATTGTACCTTGACTAGTGACATACTGTGTACCTTCAGTCCTCAACTGTTAGGATACTGCATTTACTTATTTGGAATAAGATTCATCATTAATTTGTGCTTAAGGTTAACCTGTTAAATAACATATAAAGATATATTTCTTTATAAATTTAACTGAAAACAGCAGGTTGGTAAATAACAATAAGTGATACTAGTTACACAGGTCTGGTGTACTTGGTACGCAGGTATGGTGTACTTGGTACGCAGGTATGGTGTACTTGGTACGCAGGTCTGGTGTACTTGGTACGCAGGTCTGGTGTACTTGGTACGCAGGTCTGGTGTACTTGGTACGCAGGTCTTGTGTACTTGGTACACAGGTATAGTGTATGTCAGAATTCTTGTTTAGGATATGAATCATCAGTACTGATGTTATTGGTGATTTTTATACATTTCTGCTTTGGTTACAATCTATATTTACAAAGTTCTATAGAAAAACCTCGTTGTTTTTAGAACTTATAATAGTTTCTCAATGTTATGATATTATATTCCCAACATTACAGGTGATAAACGGAATCTATTGTAGAATGCATCATAGTTCTCAAAATTTTCATTTTTGGATAATTTTATAACTCTTTAAATTATGAAACCTTCAAGTACTAATATGATTGAGAAAAAAATACATATTTTGCTTGTTTGTACTGATATACTCATGGTTTTTATTTTAATGTAAAATGATTTTTGATGAGATCTAGTGACAGTATTTTCTACAGAACAGTTTTACTATGTAATGAATTAATGAACCATGCATTGTTTTTTTACTCAGTGATCTTTTTCTAGCTATTGTTGAGTTGTTAAAGCAAAAACAAAGTTGTAATTTCACTCCTAGGTAATATGTTGTGTTCATATTTTATGAAAATTAAATATACAAGTCTGTATGAATCTGTATGGATGTGAATAGTATACACAATAATTAAACAGTTTAAGGACATTTTGAGATTTATATTGGTAGTAATAAGGACCTCGTTTATTTCTACACTAGCCAAATTAGCAAATGTATTTTATTTGAAAATAACAAACATTCAAAGCTGCAGGTTAATCTTAGTGCTGTTCCTTGCCAAATGAAATATGAACTCATTCTTCAGACTTAAATGTACACATTAAATGATTGTTATTGGAAAATTGCGTTCCTGAAGTGGTTTATAAGCTAAACAATATTCTCTGGTATTCTGTGATGTCCATACTAGTGTACATATGTAGTCCAGCCACTTCTCTTCTGTTTCTGGTAAACCTAGTCTTCTTCTCCAAATGTCTGGAAAATCTTTGACTGATAAAGAAATGTTGATTTTGTTCTTGTGTTTACAGTATTTGTTCAGCAAAGGAAAACAGGAAACAGAACTGTATGCTTCATCCATTGTCCGTAGCCTCATTGTGAATATTATGTAGACAGAATAGATAGATATGAAAAACATGTTTAAAAAAAAAAGTTTCACAAAAATATGATTCTTTGGTAGAAATGGCAGTACTTGACGCCATTTCTAGACAATTTTAAAAACTGTTTATGACATAAGTTATAGTTTCAGTATTTGGATTGTGATTGAATCTCAAGAAAAGTTGGACATTTTTTCTAGGGTTTGTAAATATTTGACAAAGTTTGGTTGACAGCAGTTCCGGTTGAGAGGCATTAAAGCCTGATTTAAGTTTTAACAGTATTGGTATATGATGCCTTGTTTTTCTGATAAAACATCACTGAATGGAAAATTGGATATCAGTCTTTACTTAGTGCTTAGCGGGAAGACTAATACTTTGTATCAACTTCTTCTGTGTATATAAATTCAGGAGAAGATGAAGCTGTTTCCAAGAGGAAAATACCATGTTCCAAAGTCAGTTTTGATTCGTCTAAATACTCGTATACCTTAAGATTACTTAAAAAATATCAAGTTGTTTGTGATTGAGGATCACAGTACACACAATGGATTGTAAATCACAAATAAAAAGATCAATGCAACATGTAATTTTCTTGTATTTAAGACTTTTGTTAATGGTTTCTGTATGTATTGCTCACAATGAATCAGTACTCATATCTGATCATGATCTCGCTCCTGTATTCATCTGACAGTAAGCCCAGAGAGCCAAATTATCTCCCCTGACTCAGAACTTGACATGACAGTGGGATATTTTTTGAGTTTCCCACAGATCTGCAATAGTTGGGCTAATCATTCGACATGGGCTTATTGTGGGATATATGTCAGGTTCTCCTTCTTTGTTATTGTTGTTTAGATCTTAGCAGACACTAGTAAACAAGGTGTGGCATTGTTATTCTTATTTTTTTTCCAATGTGTTCAGGATTTCCGCAGTAACGTACCTCGTATAGTACTTTCTGTATATACTGTAGTGATGAAATATATGTAAAATGTGCAACGAAAATGTCCAGTAACTAGTACTGTTATGTCTGATAAAAGATGTATTTTTTGAAAATAAAACGTGATTATTGTTGTAATTTGAGAATGTTTGTTTTTTATCTGTCACAACCCAGTTGTTCAAGCTCAGAATTAAACTTTGAATATCTTCAGAATATGATTAAGTTGATATTAGGCTTAACCGGTATGTGGATTAGGAATATTGACTAGTCTTGGAGAATGTACAGTTTTAGATAAAAATATTCATGAATATTAAGGAATTTCTCAAAGAATTCATTTAAACCAATGTAAGTTATTTACAAAATGACTAAAACCAAAAACAAGGTAAGATTTGAACAAATGGTTACAGAATTTAGATAAAGTCCTAGACAACATCTACATACCATGTAGCCTAATAAATGAATGGATTCATATTCTTTAGCAAAATTGAAACTGGAAGTAATTTTAGGTCGAATGAATTGCTTTCATATCTTGTATATTATGTTGTGTACAAGTGACATTACTTTCAATACAATGTACTGAAAAATTAGGTAGTTAAGAAAAACACTCCTTCTTGTATACTGCCTTTCATCGTTCAATATTGCTCAATAAATCTGTTCGCATTAATTAAAATTACTTGATTATTGAATAATAAATCATTACATACCCATCAGACTCTAATATAAAGATCATGCAAAACTACTCCACATCTTTAAAAACCTATCAGACAAGGACATCCAGGACAGAACAGCCCTTGTTAATATGTCACACTACTGTAACACCTTGTCTTTGTGTCTGTGTCACACTACTGTAACACCTTGTCTTTGTGTCTGTGACACACTACTGTAACACCTTGTCTTTGTGTCTGTGACACACTATTGTAACACCTTGTCTCTGTGTCTGTGACACACTACTGTAACACCTTGTCTCTGTGTCTGTGACACACTACTGTAACACCTTGTCTTTGTGTCTGTGACACACTATTGTAACACCTTGTCTTTGTGTCTGTGTGTCTGTGACACACTACTGTAACACCTTGTCTTTGTGTCTGTGACACACTACTGTAACACCTTGTCTTTGTGTCTGTGACACACTACTGTAACACCTTGTCTTTGTGTCTGTGACACACTACTGTAACACCTTGTCTTTGTGTCTCTTCCCTCTGCTTCTTTTTGTTTTCTTGTTTACAAATATACAAAAAAACTCTTTTTTAAATTATTGACACTCAAATTTTATTATTTGTTTTCTATCAAAAACCCACTTGACCAGTACAATCAACACAGTAAGATTACTCTACAGATTGATGATGTAATTCATGAAAATAAGATCTTCTTGATTTCTGATTTTCCACTTGATTTGTAAATATTGTAATGATGAAAATATAGAGCTTAAATCTTACACTCCTGTCGATGTAACACAGAATCAATCCAACAAATTTAATCATTTTACATGTCACAACCCTATAAGCGTATGACATATATGAAATTATTCAATCAGCTTAATGAAGCCCATATTAAATAGGCAAGAGTATAAGATTCTATTTATCATGTAAATCATATATCTTAAATATGAACAAATTCTTCTAAAATGAATATTTCCCAATATGACAGAATTTTGTTGACAGTTTTTCAAAACTGAAATCTACACCGTCTACAAATGTAAAATAAAACGGAGACTCATAAATACATGTCATCCCAAATAAGTTAGACTAAGTTGCTGAGAAGCAACGTTGAGTACACAAACTTCGTTAACCATCATTTCACATCACTCAATCAAATGAATATTCTAGCATGGATCTAAATTGGACAGGTGTACATAAGATGTATTTTTTATCTGTAAAGTTAAAGTGATTCTCACCTGAGTTTGTTACAGATGTCAACTTTGACTTAATAACTACATCACAGCCTGCTAAACGGGTTAATGTGACAATGGAGTATGTTGCCTGATCTCACCATAGGTCAAGAAAGTAGCTGTCATGAAACAACAACATACATTAATCTCATGTGGAAACACCCTGGTGAAACAAAGAATCCCTAGAGAGGCATGTTGGCATGTTTTTTCCAAGGATTTGATAATTTTTTGTTCGCTAATACTTGTAAATCTTGACAAAGTCTTCTCCGTGTTGTTCTAGGCTCAATGATGTCATCGACAAAACCTGAAATTAAAATCAAACACAATTTAAATTCAATTCAAACTTTTGTGTCCTTTTCACAGAGAACAATTTTGACAAGAATATCAGAGAAACAGATAAATGTTCCCTGACATCACAATGGAGACAGTACATATAGAGCTGAGATGACACACCCACATATCATATCCTGACTTCACAATGGAGACAGTATATATAGAGCTGAGATGACACACCCACATATTACATCCTGACATCACAATGGAGACAGTATATATAGAGCTGAGATGACACACATATTACATCCTGACTACACAATGGAGACAGTATATATAGAGCTGAGATGACACACCCACATATTATATCATGACTTCACAATGGAGACAGTATATATAGAGCTGAGATGACACACGCACATATTATATCATGACTTCACAATGTAGACAGTATATATAGAGCTGAGATGACACACGCACATATTATATCATGACTTCACAATGGAGACAGTATATATAGAGCTGAGATGACACACACATATTACACTTCACAATGTAGACAGTATATATAGAGCTGACATCACACTGGAGACAGTATATATACACATATATGGACATCACAATGTAGACAGTATATATAGAGCTGAGATGACACACTCACATATCATATCCTGACATCACAATGTAGACAGTATATATAGAGCTGAGATGACACACATATTACATCCTGACAACACAATGGAGACAGTATATATAGAGCTGAGATGACACACTCACATATCATATCCTGACATCACATTGTAGAGGGTATATATAGAGCTGAGATGACACACATATTACATCCTGACATCACAATGTAGACAGTATATATAGAGCTGAGATGACACACATATTACATCCTGACATCACAATGTAGACAGTATATATAGAGCTGAGATGACACACCCACATATTACATCCTGACATCACAATGTAGACAGTATATATAGAGCTGAGATGACACACCCACATATTACATCCTGACATCACAATGTAGACAGTATATATAGAGCTGAGATGACACACACACATATTACATCCTGACATCACAATGTAGACAGTATATATAGAGCTGAGATGACACACATATTACATCCTGACATCACAATGTAGACATATAGAGCTGAGATGTATATATAGAGCTGAGATGACACACCACACATATTACATCCTGACATCACAATGTAGACAGTATATATAGAGCTGACAGTATATATAGAGCTGAGATGACACACATATTACATCCTGACATCACAATGGAGACAGTATATATAGAGCTGAGATGACACACATATTATATCCTGACTACACAATGGAGACAGTATATATAGAGCTGAGATGACACACACACATATTACATCCTGACATCACAATGTAGACAGTATATATAGAGCTGAGATGACACACACACATATTACATCCTGACATCACAATGTAGACAGTATATATAGAGCTGAGATGACACACACACATATTATATCCTGACATCACAATGTAGACAGTATATATAGAGCTGAGATGACACACCCACATATTATATCCTGACTACACAATGTAGACAGTATATATAGAGCTGAGATGACACACCCACATATTATATCCTGACTACACAATGTAGACAGTATATATATTGCTGAGATTACACACACATATTATATCCTGACTACACAATGTAGACAGTATATATAGAGCTGAGATGACACACATATTATATCCTGACATCACAATGTAGACAGTATATATAGAGCTGAGATGACACACCCACATATTATATCCTGACTACACAATGTAGACAGTATATATAGAGCTGAGATGACACACCCACATATTATATCCTGACTACACAATGTAGACAGTATATATAGAGCTGAGATGACACACCCACATATTATATCCTGACTACACAATGTAGACAGTATATATAGAGCTGAGATGACACACATATTATATCCTGACTACACAATGTAGACAGTATATATAGAGCTGAGATGACACACCCACATATTATATCATGACTACACAATGTAGACAGTATATATAGAGCTGAGATGACACACCCACATATTATATCATGACTACACAATACGTATATATAGAGCTGATATCACACACCCACATATTATATCCTGACTACACAATGTAGACAGTATATATAGACTGAGATGACACACATACATATCCACATACAATGTAGACAGTATATATAGACTGATGTAGACAGTATATATAGAGCTGAGATGACACACCCACATATTATATCATGACTACACAATGTAGACAGTATATATAGAGCTGAGATGACACACCCACATATTATATCATGACTACACAATGTAGACAGTATATATAGAGCTGAGATGACACACATATTATATCCTGACTACACAATGTAGACAGTATATATAGAGCTGAGATGACACACATATTATATCCTGACATCACAATGTAGACAGTATATATAGAGCTGAGACACACACATATTATATCCACACACTACACAATGTAGACAGTATATATATATATAGAGCTGAGATGACACACATATTATATCCTGACTACACAATGTAGACAGTATATATAGAGCTGAGATGACACACATATTATATCCTGACTACACAATGTAGACAGTATATATAGAGCTGAGATGACACACATATTATATCCTGACTACACAATGTAGACAGTATATATAGAGCTGAGATGACACACATATTATATCCTGACTACACAATGTAGACAGTATATATAGAGCTGAGATGACACACATATTATATCCTGACTACACAATGGAGACAGTATATATAGAGCTGAGATGACACACATATTATATCCTGACTACACAATGTAGACAGTATATATAGAGCTGAGATGACACACATATTATATCCTGACTACACAATGTAGACAGTATATATACACATGATATGACACACAATGTAGACAGTATATATAGAGATGACACACATATTATATCCTGACTACACAATGTAGACAGTATATATAGAGCTGAGATGACACACATATTACATCCTGACATCACAATGTAGACAGTATATATAGAGCTGAGATGACACACATATTACATCCTGACATCACAATGGAGACAGTATATATAGAGCTGAGATGACTTCAGGTTTACAGGGAAAAGAACATTAGTTGTTGAATTAAAATCTTCAATTCATCGAAAAAATTAAAATCTTCAATTCATCGAAAAAATTAAAATTACAAGCCCGAATTTTCAGTATTTTATACCTCTGGGAATTTCATAATGTTTGTGATTGAGTGTTGTACAGATTTTGTAGGTAAAATAGCGAGCTGATTCCGATCCGAGACTCACCATGACTTCAATGATATCATCAAAGTATCTAACAAGTGGTTTTTATTGTTTTTCACCCCTTTTTGATGACCTTGAGATAGGTCATTAGTGATTGCCAAAGTTCTGTTCTGATATTCTTTATACTTTTTCATTACAAAGTTCCCAATCAGCCATGACTGGGAACATTGTCGTTTTGAAATAACTTATCACAGTAGGCCGTAACTCACCGCGAACTGATGCGGGGAAAGGGTTCGCAAACTTTTCTACATATTCTGCTTCATTCTTCTCCTGGTCTTTTCCTCGGAAAATGATGGACACCGCTCCCTGTTAATCATTAATGAAATTTGACGTTAAGTTCATAAAGTTGAAATACAAAATATTTCTACAACAAGAACATTGAAAACAGTTGCATAGTTGGGTTACCTGACATGCTTGCTGGGTAACAAATGAAAATGTCCCCTTGCCCTAGAAGTCTGACCTTGACCTTTTGCAAAAGCAACAAAACATATCAATGATTGTTAATCGTGGAATATAGAAGTTGCTGACAAAGTTTCTTACCAATGGCATGTATTTCAGAAATTTAATGGTTATACAAAAAAATAAAACAGATAAACATTTTGAAGTCAGAAAGGGGCATGTCTCTCTACAGTCAGGAAATATGACTCTCCTAAGACATGGACACAATTCTCCTCAGAAAGGGGCCTGACTCTCTACAGTACAGGAAATATGACTCTCCTAAGACATGGACACAATTCTCCTCAGAAAGGGGCTTAACTCTACAGTACAGGAAATATGACTCTCCTGAGACAGGAACATAACTCCCTCAAAAAGAGACAGCAAGGGACATTCTTTACAACCAAATCAATTTTGCTCATGGCCATATTGATTTCAATTTCTATTTTCCCTATAATCTTTGACTTAATCTACATCCTGTAGACATGTCTTGTAGACAGGTCCTGATGTCATCCCTAAGTCGGTATTATAAATTGTTATACTTACCTTGGCCCCCATCACTGCCACCTCAGCAGTTGGCCAGGCGTAATTTGTGTCACCACGTAGATGTTTTGAGCTCATCACATCATAGGCTCCACCGTAGGCCTGTCACAGAGAAGATTTCCAATGTAACACTTGTATCTGATCATGTTGATCTTCTAACAATTTTTGAATTTGTTTATTTTTTTATATTAATGAGAAGGATTTACAGGAGGAACATTTGATATTTTCTAATTTTGATGTTTAGTATTGAGACTGCATGGAAATCCAATCTGCAACTAGGAAAACCATGTTTATACTAAAAAAAAAGTGAATTTGAAATATCTAGGTATCGGAAATTGTGTCACACAACTACAAACCTTCCTTGTTATCACAGTAATCTTGGGAACAGTGGCCTCCGCATATGCGTACAACAACTTAGCACCATGTCGGATAATTCCTCCGTACTCCTGAGAGGTACCTGAAATACATTTCAAATTTAAGTGCGCAATTTTTCAAGAAAAAACAAAATGTCTAAAGTGGGGAGTGCACACATTATGTAAGATTTTTCATCAATGATTACGGGGGCCACCATAATTGACTGTCGGGATTACTGGTACACTAAAATTCTTGAGCAACAAGAGTTTATTAAACTTGTTACTATATATATTAGTGCAAACTGTTCGAGTCAACATCATCCAAAATCAGGACGGCAAATCAGTATAAAGATAGGGTGGCCTGTGTGCAATATTAAAAAATATGTCGATTATATTGGACCATCTATTAAAACGCTTACATTTCACACTGTCAAGAAATCACTTTATTCTCTGTTATGTTGGATATCACAACGGGGAAGTCATAGGCATACTTGTCTGTTTGTTTGTTGGTGGAAGTTAGCGTTGATATATCAGTACCAGTGCTGATTAATAAGTTGTGAGCCTTGTATTGAAGACGTTAAGAAAAGATGTCCTTTTTCAGCTCTTCTATTTCCTGGCCATTTATGGCTGTGTACCCGAAGACTGGTGTCATTTGGTCAGTTTATGTCAAAGAGGTAGCATCAGTAAATAAGGCAAGAGTTTTGCATAATGGACAAAATCGCTGAAAGAGCAGTGATTCAATAGCTGCATAAGAAAGGTCTAGCACCTAGAGATATCCATACTGATACTGATATGGTAGCGACACTACAGAATGATGTCCCTTCATATTCTACAGTGTGAAAAGGTGGTGGTGGAATTCAGGCATGACAGGCAGAGCCTTGGGGATAATATCCATCCTGGAAGGCCTGTCTCTGTTGCAACCCCAGAAATGGTCAGTAAAGTCCATGTCATTGTTACGGCTGACAGGTGAGTTACAGAGAGATATATAGCCAGTACAGCTGAGATTTCACAGGAAAGATTGCATTCCATTCTTATGGTCCTATAACTGTTCCATTATAATAAGGATAGTCTTCCCGTCATCATCTTATCACAATATGTAGTGAAAGACTGTTCCTCTCTGGCATACTTCACTGTGCACAATGTGACAGTTGGACATAAAAGAAACCTCACAGAGATCGTAATTACCTGGTTTGTACATAATATTGTGTGATGAGGAATATAAAACCAGACACACTTATGTGTTATGTATATACAATGTCTGTCTTAAAACCACTTTGAGATGAGTTCCTTTTTGTAATTGATATTATTCCATCTTAAATCAACATATAACAAAGATGACACTGCTCTAAAGTATAACAAACATACACACCTGTACCACTGGCCATCAACAAACATACACACCTGTACCACTGGCCATCAACAAACATACACACCTGTACCACTGGCCATCAACAAACATACACACCTGTACCACTGGCCATCAACAAACATACACACATGTACCACTGGCCATCAACAAACATACACACCTGTACCACTGGCCATCAACAAACATACACACCTGTACCACTGGCCATCAACAAACATACACACCTGTACCACTGGCCATCAACAAACATGTTACACACCTGTACCACTGGCCATCAACAAACATACACACCTGTACCACTGGCCATCAACAAACATACACACCTGTACCACTGGCCATCAACAAACATACACACATGTACCACTGGCCATCAACAAACATACACACCTGTACCACTGGCCATCAACAAACATACATACCTGTACCACTGGTGATCCACAAAAATAAAACTCTCTAACTCCGATACCCGTCAGGTTTCACAGTACAACAATACACCACACTATACAGACAACATGGCTGTGTCTTACTTCCCTGTCAGGTTTCACAGTACAACAATACACCACACTATATAGACAACATGGCTGTGTCTTACTTCCCTGTCAGGTTTAACAGTACAACAATACACCACACTATACAGACAGCATGGCTGTGTCCTCCTCCCTTTCAGGTTTAACAGCACAATACACCACACTATACAGACAGCATGGCTGTGTCTTACCTCCCTGTCAGGTTTAACAGTACAACAATACACCACACTATACAGACAGCATGGCTGTGTCTTACTTCCCTGTCAGGTTTAACAGTACAACAATACACCACACTATACAGACAGCATGGCTGTGTCTTACTTCCCTGTCAGGTTTAACAGTACAACAATACACCACACTATACAGACAGCATGGCTGTGTCTTACCTCCCTGTCATTTTGTACCTGTCAGGTTTAGCAGTACAACAATACACCACACTATACAGACAACACGGCTGTGTCTTACCTCCCTGTCAGGTTTTACAGTACAACGATACAGTTCCCACACTATACAGATAGCATGGCTGTGCCTTACTGCACATAAAATTTTTTTACCTGGTAGAAAACCCGGAACGTCGACAAATGTGATCACGGGAATGTTGAAGGAATCACAAAATCTCACAAATCTTGCTCCCTTAACTGAGGCATTGATGTCCAGACACCCTACAAACCATCAAAACAAAACCTTAACAGACATGTTGATATCTAGACACCCTACAAACCATCAAAACAAAACCTTAACAGACATGTTGATATCTAGACACCCTACAAACCATCAAAACAAAACCTTAACAGACATGTTGATGTCCAGACACCCTACAAACCATCAAAACAAAACCTTAACAGACATGTTGATATCTAGACACCCTACAAACCATCAAAACAAAACCTTAACAGACATGTTGATATCTAGACACCCTACAAACCATCAAAACAAAACCTTAACAGACATGTTGATATCTAGACACCCTCCAAACCATCAACACAAAACCTTAACAGACATGTTGATATCTAGACACCCTACAAACCATCAACACAAAACCTTAACAGACATGTTGATATCTAGACACCCTACAAACCATCAACACAAAACCTTAACAGACATGTTGATATCTAGACACCCTACAAACCATCAAAACAAAACCTTAACAGACATGTTGATATCTAGACACCCTACAAACCATCAAAACAAAACCTTAACAGACATGTTGATATCTAGACACCCTACAAACCATCAAAACAAAACCTTAACAGACATGTTGATATCTAGACACCCTACAAACCATCAAAACAAAACCTTAACAGACATGTTGATATCTAGACACCCTACAAACCATCAAAACAAAACCTTAACAGACATGTTGATATCTAGACACCCTACAAACCATCAACACAAAACCTTAACAGACATGTTGATATCTAGACACCCTACAAACCATCAAAACAAAACCTTAACAGACATGTTGATATATAGACACCCTCCAAACCATCAAAACAAAACCTTAACAGACATGTTGATATCTAGACACCCTACAAACCATCAAAACAAGACCTTAACAGACATGTTGATATCTAGACACCCTACAAACCATCAAAACAAGACCTTAACAGACATGTTGATATCTAGACACCCTACAAACCATCAAAACAAAACCTTAACAGACATGTTGATATCTAGACACCCTACAAATCATCAACACAAAACCTTAACAGACATGTTGATATCTAGACACCCTACAAACCATCAAAACAAAACCTTAACAGACATGTTGATATCTAGACACCCTACAAACCATCAAAACAAAACCTTAACAGACATGTTGATATCTAGACACCCTACAAACCAGCAACACAAAACCTTAACAGACATGTTGATATCTAGACACCCTACAAACCATCACACAAAAACAAACAGTGAAAAGTATATCAATATGACTGATAAAGAATTCATATGTTTCTTTTTTTTTTCTCATGCATTTTCCGTGTATTCTAAAAAACAGAGATGAAAGTGGTTGGCATTGGAAAAGGTGGAAATCTGCCGATCGGCGAATTTTTTTTTATCTCTGTTGTAATTTCAAACGTTCGATTGATGTAAGAGTTATTTCCCTTCGTATTATCGATTTGACAATATTGTAAACTAGGTGCTCGTAACTGCTCGATGTTTAATTTTACAGTTTATAAGGGCATATAAATCGAAGGATTTGAGAACGGAGTTGATGAAGATTGCTTAAAAACAAAATGCATCATCAAGACATACCTGACCCCCCACTCCTGAAATTTTCTCACCGGATTTGCATCGATCTCAAAAATGACGAAATTTGTCATGAAAAAGGCGGAAATCCGCCAATCGGCGGAAATTTTTCATCTCTGAAAAAAGTTCATACATCAGATACACAACAGGACAACAGTATCTATACAACATCATTAACTCCATGTAAAATTCCTTTCTCAGGCAGATCTCATTCAAATATACTTGCCTGCTGCCACTTTTGGTTGATTTCCAACCATTCCCACAGTCTGTCCGTTCATACGGGCAAAGCCTACTACAATGTTCTTGGCATAATTTGGCATTATCTCAAAGAATTGAGCATCATCTGCAATCTAAAAAAGTCAGAAATATGACAAACGTCTTTATGACCCAGTTCATAATCACAACCTATGTTCTTTCCATTTCCTGTGTCGGAACTTCTTTCAATAATTTTTTTTTCTAATATTTCCTCAGTCAAGTTCTTCACCTTGATTGTTATATGTATAATGGTGTACTGGTCAGCTTGGTACAAGTTTTATATGACAATCAAAGTAGCAGTTTAAAAATGTTCAAGTTTGTCATACTTCAGGACAGATAATGATACATACAGCTCTCTCGTTACTTACACCAAGTATTACATCTTTGATATCATAGGCTGTGGTTGTCTCAAGGGGGATAACTGTGTCAAGCCCCGGAACATCCTTATCCCTGTGCCAGTAAATACACACAATGTAAGAATAATGTTTTTCAGTGGTATAAACAATCTTTTCTCACTCTTTTATTTATATATGATGAGATTACATTAGCAATTTTAACGTGTTTAGTAACAAATATTCCTAAAATTTGTCAGATGTGGTGTTGTATACACTGGCTTTACAGACATCTGTACTTATGGTTATTTGAGAGATCTTGATGTCCTAACAACAGCTTTAGTCCTATGAGGACAGTGTAGACAGACGATAAGGTAATTGATTGGACCCTTTTATAGTGCTGTCACATTGAAATGTTAAAACTTGGTAACATTAAATACCAACATGTCACATAATAATAATAATAATGACACTTTAGAAACTAGAAAATGTCTGTAAGACATGAATGCCCCCGCCCCCCCATGTGAAATAATAGTGAAAGGCCCGAATGAAGTTGTTAGGTGGTATATACTGATTTGGGACGCGACGCGACGGGATGGGACGGGACGGGACGCAACGGGACGGGACGGACGGACATAAATGGCGGGGGCATAAAAATTGTCAAGAAGAAAAGACCAAGATCTCCAGTTCAGTCGTCTCTGAGACATGTGTTCAAGCTGGTACAACACATACGCCTTATAAACCTGTTTTAAACAACCAGATTATAATAGATTATAAAATTTTGACCTACCAGGGATCTGTACATTCTCTTATTGGGGCCTGATCGGCGTTACTCAAGGGGAGATAATTATAGAACTCTCTCAGCTGGAGCAGGGCATCCACATCATTCTCAAAGGCACAGTGGGCAACACCTGATAACAGAAAGGTTAAAGGTCAGTTCAGCTCATTACAAAGGTCAGAGATAATGCTTTTAATTTCTTTTTATTTTAATTGTCAAGACAATTAATGGAATGCCAAGACAATTGATGGAATGCCAAGACAATTAATGGAATGCCAAGACAATTAATGGAATGCCAAGACAATTGATGGAATGCCAAGACAATTAATGGAATGCCAAGCTTTTATTGTAAAAGTCAATGTAAACAAGTGTTATAAAAATGAACCTCTGTTCCATAAAAGTGAAATATTGTCATCCTTTACTGTTAAGGTCAACTGTTAAGGTCAATGTCAAGATGTGGCAACTACTAAGACAACATAAGATCATCCCTGTGATCTCTAAATATGATCCCAAATATTTGTTGTAAAGTGACAATAACATCAACATATAGTCCCCATCCTCCAAATGCTTAATTTACTCAAGACACTGGTGTGTGTCTTGGCCCCACCAAACTCTTCCAACACTAATCTAAGACACTAGTGTGTGTCTTGGCCCCACCAAACTCCTCAAACACTTATCTAAGACACCAGTGTGTGTCTTGGCCCCACCAAACTCCTCCAACACTAATCTAAGACACTAGCGTGTGTCTTGGTCCATCCAAACTCCTCCAACACTAATCTAAGACACTAGTGTGTGTCTTGGCCCCACCAAACTCCTCCAACACTAATCTAAGACACTAGTGTGTGTCTTGGTCCATCCAAAATCCTCCAACACTAATCTAAGACACTAGTGTGTGTCTTGGCCCACCAAACTAAGACACTAGTGTGTGTGTGTGTCTTGGCCCCCTCCACCAAACTCCTCCAACACTAATCTAAGACACTAGTGTGTGTCTTGGCCCCACCAAATTAAGACACTACTGTGTGTCTTGGCCCGACCAAACTCCTCCAACACTAATCTAAGACACTAGTGTGTGTCTTGGCCCCACCAAACTCCTCCAACACTAATCTAAGACACTAGTGTGTGTCTTGGCCCCACCAAACTCCTCCAACACTAATCTAAGACACTAGTGTGTGTCTTGGCCCCACCAAACTCCTCCAACACTAATCTAAGACACTAGCGTGTGTCTTGGTCCATCCAAAATCCTCCAACACTAATCTAAGACACTAGTGTGTGTCTTGGCCCACCAAACTAAGACACTAGTGTGTGTCTTTTCCCGACCAAACTCCTCCAACACTAATCTAAGACACTAGCGTGTGTCTTGGCCCCACCAAACTCCTCCAACACTGTTCTAAGACACTGGTGTATGTCTTGGTCCGACCAAACTCCTCCAACACTATTCTAAGATACTAGTGTGTGTCTTGGCCCGAGCAAACTCCTCCAACACTATTCTAAGACACTATTGTGTGTCTTGGCCCCACCAAACTCCTCCAACACTAATCTAAGACACTAGTGTGTGTCTTTGCCCCACCAAACTCCTCCAACACTAATCTAAGACACTAGCGTGTGTCTTGGTCCATCCAAACTCCTCCAACACTAATCTAAGACACTAGTGTGTGTCTTGGCCCCACCAAACTAAGACACTAGTGTGTGTCTTTTCCCGACCAAACTCCTCCAACACTAATCTAAGACACTAGTGTGTGTCTTGGCCCCACCAAACTCCTCCAACACTGTTCTAAGACACTAGTGTGTGTCTTGGCCCGACCAAACTCCTCCAACACTATTCTAAGACACTAGTGTGTGTCTTGGCCCCACCAAACTCCTCCAACACTAATCTAAGACACTAGTGTGTGTCTTGGCCCCACCAAACTAATACACTAATGTGTGTCTTGGACCAAAATCTCTCCAACACTAATCTAAGACACTAGTGTGTGTCTTGGCCCCACCAAACTCCTCCAACACTAATCTAAGACACTAGTGTGTGTCTTGGCCCCACCAAACTCCTCCAACACTAATCTAAGACACTAGTGTGTGTCTTGGCCCGACCAAACTAAGACACTAGTGTGTGTCTTTTCCCGACCAAACTCCTCCAACACTACCAAACTCTCCAACACTAGACACTAGTGTGTGTCTTGGCCCCACCAAACTCCTCCAACACTATTCTAAGACACTGGTGTACGTCTTGGCCCGACCAAACTCCTCCAACACTATTCTAAGACACTGGTATGTGTCTTGGCCCCACCAAACTCCCCCAACACTAATCTAAGACACTAGTGTGTGTCTTGGCCCCACCAAACTCCTCCAACACTAATCTAAGACACTAGTGTGTGTCTTGGCCCACCAAACTCCTCCAACACTAATCTAAGACACTAGTGTGTGTCTTGGCCCCACCAAACTCCTCCAACACTAATCTAAGACACTAGTGTGTGTCTTGGCCCCACCAAACTCCTCCAACACTAATCTAAGACACTAGTGTGTGTCTTGGCCCCACCAAACTCCTCCAACACTGTTCTAAGACACTAGTGTGTGTCTTGGCCCCACCAAACTCCTCCAACACTATTCTAAGACACTAGTGTGTGTCTTGGCCCCACCAAACTCCTCCAACACTATTCTAAGACACTGGTGTACGTCTTGGCCCCACCAAACTCCTCCAACACTATTCTAAGACACTGGTATGTGTCTTGGCCCCACCAAACTCCCCCAACACTAATCTAAGACACTAGTGTGTGTCTTGGCCCCACCAAACTCCTCCAACACTATTCTAAGACACTGGTGTATGTCTTGGCCCCAACAAACTCCTCCAACACTATTCTAAGACACTAGTGTGTGTCTTGGCCCGACCAAACTCCTCCAACACTATTCTAAGACACTAGTGTGTGTCTTGGCCCGACCAAACTCCTCCAACACTTACTTAGACACTGGTGTGTGTTTTAGGCCCCATTCGCCTACTCTTACACTAACCTGAAACACTGGTGTGTGTTTTCGCCCCACCCAACTCCTCCTGTGTAACTTCCTCTCCTGTCACAGACTACAACACACAAAGAGAATAAAAGTTTTACGATATATGTAATATAAAAATGTGTCAGCATCATAAGGCTTTCAGAAAGATTGAGTTTATAAGATCACTGCTGTCAATATTACTTGAATAATCACATCAGTGAATATTTATTTTTTTTTTAAACAATTTAATCTTATTGATTTCTGGTAAAATATTAAAACAGAAAAGAAAAACTTCTTGTAAAATAATCTCCTAAAAATGAAGACAATTCTTGATGATCAAGTGATCTAGAAATTCCCAAAGTTAAAATGACCTCCAAGAAAATGATCATTTCCTTATATAGATATATCTTTACTATGATCAGCAACAAAGCATCTGATAGCCACAGCAGATTTGAACAGGTTTGAATCATTCTGTCTTCAGATATCAAGCAGACTATATGTATTATAATTTGGTAACAATATTTCACTTGGCACTTTGTCATGAGGTAGCAATGGTAACAGACAATGTTCAGAAAAAACATGTATACTGTGGTATTTATCAAAATAGAAGGTTGATAATCATTACAAACAGGGTGTGGTTCTCTGTGTTCCAATATTGCCTATCTACCCTTCGATAGCCAGTGACCTACTCAGTGTATCCTGGCATATAGATACCTCAACATACCTCAAACAAGAGACCTAAAGATGGATGTTAAAATTCATCAAACAAGAGACCTCAAGAGGGATGTTAACATTCTTCAAACAAGAGACCTCAAGATGGATGTTAACATTCCTCAAACAAGATACCTAAAGAGGGGTGTTAACATACCTCTGACAAGAGACATAAAGATGGATGTTAACATTCCTCAAACAAAAGACCTCAAGATGGATGTTAACATTCCTCAAAGACCTCAAGAGACCTCAAGATGATGATGTTAACATTCCTCAAACAAGAGACCTAAAGATGGATGTTAACATACCTCTAACAAGAGACCTAAAGATGGATGTCAACATTCCTCAAACAAAAGACCTCAAGATGGATGTGAACATTCCTCAAACAAGAGACCTCAAGATGGATGTTAACATTCATCAAACAAAAGACCTAAAGATGGATGTTAACATTCATCAAACAAGAGACCTCAAGAGGGATGTTAACATTCTTCAAACAAGAGACCTCAAGATGGATGTTAACATTCCTCAAACAAGATACCTAAAGAGGGGTGTTAACATACCTCTGACAAGAGACATAAAGATGGATGTTAACATTCCTCAAACAAAAGACCTCAAGATGGATGTTAACATTCCTCAAACAAGAGACCTCAAGATGGATGTTAACATTCCTCAAACAAGAGACCTAAAGATGGATGTTAACATTCCTCAAACAAGAGACCTAAAGATGGATGTTAACATACCTCTAACAAGAGACCTAAAGATGGATGTTAACATTCCTCAAACAAGAGACCTCAAGAGGGATGTTAACATTCTTCAAACAGAAGACCTAAAGATGGATGTCAACATTCCTCAAACAAGAGACCTAAAGATGAATGTGAACATTCCTCAAACAAGAGACCTATAGATGGATGTTAACATTCCTCAAACAGGAGACCTAAAGATGGATGTTAACATTCCTCAAACAAGTGACCTAAAGATGGATGTTAACATTCCTCAAACAGGAGACCTAAAGATGGATGTTAACATTCCTCAAACAAGAGACCTCAAGAGGGATGTTAACATTCTTCAAACAGAAGACCTAAAGATGGATGTCAACATTCCTCAAACAAGAGACCTAAAGATAAATGTGAACATTCCTCAAACAAGAGACCTAAAGATGGATGTTAACATTCCTCAAACAAGAGACCTAAAGATAAATGTGAACATTCCTCAAACAAGAGACCTAAAGATGGATGTCAACATTCCTCAAACAAGAGACCTAAAGATAAATGTCAACATTCCTCAAACAAGAGACCTAAAGATGGATGTTAACATTCCTCAAACAAGAGATCTAAAGATGGATGTTAACATTCCTCAAACAGGAGATCTAAAGATGGATGTTAACATTCCTCAAACAGGAGATCTAAAGATGGATGTTAACATTGTTAAGAAATTCAAATCTTAGAATAATGATAATACAACATTATTGTAACATTTAAATTTTTTCCTACTTCAGATATTTCAACATTGAAAAAATGTTTAAATATTTTCAACAACATGATATTAATGTTAAAAAAAAATTTCAACATGATTACATGATTTTAATGTTAAATAAGGGTTATCTAATGTTAAAATAATCTTCAATCTTAACATTATTTTAACATACATGCTGGTTTAAAATTTAATGTTAAAAAAACATTATATTTTAACGTAATGAAAAATTGGTAGTGTGTGACCTATAAAATGTGGGCTGCAATACCAAACTTTGTATGATAAATGATACCTTATATCTTATGTGACAGAGGAAATGCCTGGCAGTAAAAGTAACATGTCTGACTGTTTTCTCATCAGAACTTTTCTATGTTCTCCCATCATTTAGTTATCCATACTGGTAGATGATCAGACACAGTAAGATAAACCTACACTACCACACCCTTCACATGCAAAACAATATCATCTGTTAACATGATAAAAGACAAACCAGTGCTACATTCAGCCTTGAAGTTCAGGGAGATTACTTTGACCTTGTATTCCCATTGAAATGCATCCTTCAATATATTCAGCTTCCTATTACCACATAACATCAAAACAAATACAAATTCTATCACCAAATCTCTCTGAGTTTTACAGTTCTTGGATACTGAAAACTTTACAGTGCACCATACTGACAACAAACTAAAGGTTTTTTCAAGTCCAGTCAATTTTCATGATGTAATACTTGCCATAACTTTTGTTTGCCAATACAATGCCTACACCATCTTTGTAACTCAAAAACAAAAGATTAGAAAATCCCACTCCCTCCTCCCTACAGTCCTGTGAGCCATAAAGTGTTCTCTCTTCCTCAAATACCTTTATAGAGCCCAAAACTGGGCAGCCAGACAGAAAGGAAAGGGGAGGTAAAGTTGGGACTCCATAAAGTTATGGTAAGTATCAAATCATGAATATTGGTTTTACTCAATTTCATTGCAGTAATTATTACCATAACTTTAGTGTGTGAATCTGTCTTACCTTATTGGAAACTTTAATGCCAGATAGCCTATGACTGAATGACACAGAGGTATCCAGGTACGAGATGCCAAGGACCTTAGACAGAAATCTGTGAAAGTATTCTGGCCACACCAGAAGGCAGTGGACATGACCTCTTGGAAGGAAGACCCATAATGGAGTGCCCAAGATGCAGCAAGGGTCCTAAATTCAAGAGCCCACAGAATGATCATAAGCATACTTGATGACTTGGCAAACCCACCTAGACACCAACTGGGACGAGATATCCAGATGACCCTGTTTAATAGGCAAAAAAAGACAGGATGGAGGACCCCACCCAACTTCCCTTGGTTTTTTGGTGCCAGACAAGGACAGGACAATCTATCATGCTCCTCAGGACCCAGCAAGGCAGAAATCCTAATGGGATCGGGCGAGAACCCAGGAACCTAATTTTAACATTAAGGCAGAACCAGTCAGAAGAGTTAGAGCAGGAATCCCTGTAGGCAGGAGGGGAAGGGAGGACATGGACTTCACTCCGCCTATCACCAGATGCCAAAGCAATCAGAAAGATTGCCTTGTAAGTACTAAACTTCAAGGAAGCAATCTCCAAAGGCTCACATCATGGAATCTACCACGAGTGCCAGAACTCTGGGCCTATCCAGAGCAAAGATTCTAATCAAGGCAGAAAGAGAGGAAGAAAAACCTACCTCCTTTCTACCATAAAAAGAAAGGACACTGGCAATAGCCATACAGTAACTGGCTACAGAGCCAGGAGCAAGGTGACAGTCCTTTAACAACCAGAAATCCACAATCAGTAGGTCTTCCATCGCAATTGGTAAAAGGCAGAAAGCCCTGATAGATCAAACAATGTGATCTGACACCTTTTAAGAAAAGTCTGCCTGATTACAGTTTCCTGAGACAGCCGCCACCTGTGAAGGTGGAAGCACATACCAAACAAAAGTACAACCAAATTATTGGTATTTTTTCTCAAAGTATATTTTTTTGTACTTTTCAAAGCAAGCTCTATACTTCTTTTATACTAACTTTGGACTCCGATTTTTACTTATATGAGCACAAGTCAGATAAAAGCTGGTTTATTTTTGTACTATTTTTTACCTTTCACAGAACTTATTGTGACATGAACTTTTTGAATACTTTTTTGGTACTTTGTTAAATTACAAATAAAGTACACTGTACTGTAGGAGTACTATCTTACTACTTTTCTTAAAATGTTAAATTGTCCCACACACAGTCAGTGCACTTTTTTCCTTCTTTATACCATATCCCTGCTTTATTTTTGTACTTTTTTGTAATTTTGGTAACCATACTTATTCTAAACTATTTATGTACTAGGTCTGTACTTGTGAAAATTAGCTAATGTACCAAAAGTATACTTTTATTAGCTTTTTTCATACTAATGTACATTTTTTGACTCAATTTGAAACTGTGTAACTTTCCGTTGAAAAAAATTAACGTTTTTTTTGTATGTTTTTCGTACTTTTTTTAATACTATTTCTGTGCTTTCTTTCCGCATGGGATATATATAAAGAGAAAGAGGGAGAGGATCTCTGTATGAGAGCGCATTAACCTGGACTGAGGCTGGCGAAGGAGGTCTGATCTGATGAGGAGAGCCAACGTTCCTCTAACAGAAATGACAAGAGCTCCGGAAACCAAGGTTGTCTCGTCACAGAGTAAGGAGCAGTGATGAACTTCTGTAGCACCCTGCCCACAAGGTTGAAGGGAGGGAATGAAGAAGCATGCATCCCCTCCCAGTCCAAAGTGTTCATGGCCCAAGCCTTCGGATCTGGAACTGGTGACACAAAAGTTGTCAATTTATTGTTCAGAGATGTGGCAAACAGGTCTATAAGAGGCCTGTCCTACACCTGACAAATTCCCTTAAAAGTTGAGGGACTC